TAGTCAGCTGCACGCTCCGGTATAAGTTCACGTGCTACGTGACGCCACACTTGCGCATAAAATAGTGTTTCACACTCGCTGCTTGGCTTATTGATGGCGCTGGACCGACACTCTACTTCTAAATTTTACATATAACCTAAAAAAAGTGGGTGGGAAGGAAGGCCGCTGTTATAGCTTGGTGGTTAGGAGCATCGAACGCAATATTTGAAGGTCGTAGGGTCGATTCCTGCTCTCGGCTGGTTATATTTTCACCCACTTTTCTTTCTTCCTATTTAAATTCCATTTGTTCTAACAATTTTACCTCTACATTCCTTGGACTTACTGTCTGTTAGATCTCACAATTATTGTGTCAAAACACGAAAACAACAAGCCTTTAGGTACATACTTCTTTTCCTTATTCATTAACGAGGATCTCGTACTGGCAGACTTAGTGTCATTAGGTTGTATACGAAGGACAATTAGTCAGCTGCCCACTCGTAATAAGTTCACGTGCTACGTGACGCCACACATGCACATAAAGGAGTGTTTCACACTCGCTGCTTGGCTTATAGATGGCGCTAACCGACACTCCTACTTCTAAATTTACATATAAACTCCCAAAAAGTGAGGTGAGGGAAGGCCGCTGTGTTAGCTCAGTGGTTAGAGCATAGAACGCGTTATTCGAAGGTCGTAGGCTCGATTCCTGCTCATGAACGTTATTTTTGCACCCGCTTTTCTTTCTTCCTATTGACATTCCATTTGTTCTAATAACTTCCCCTATACATTCCTTGCTATTACTGTCTCTTAGATCTCATTATTATTGTGTCAAAACACGAAAAAACGAGCCCTTAGGTATACACCTCTTTCCCTTATTCATTAACGAAGGTCTCGTACTGGCAGACTTGGTGTCGTTAGGTTGTATACGAGGGAAATATTATTCATCTGCCCGCTCGTACTAAGTTCACGTGCTACGTGACGCCACACATGCGCATAAAAGAGCGTTTCAGACTCGCTTCTTGGCTTATAGACGGTGCTGACCGACACTCCTACTTCTAAATTTACGTATAAACCAAAAAAGTGGAATGAGGGAAGGCCGCTGTGATATCTCAGTGGTTAGAGCATCGAACGCGTTATTTGAAGGTCCTAGGTTCGATTCCTGCTCATGGCTGGTTATATTTTCAGCCACTTTTCTTTCCTCCTAATGACATTCAATTTTTTCTAATAACTTCCCCTACACACTTCTTGGACTTACTGTCTGTTAGATCTCATTATTATTGCGTCAAAACAGAAGAAAATGAGCCCTTAGGTATACACTTCTTTCCCTTATTCATTAACGAGGGTATCGTACTGGCAGTCTCAGTGTCATTAGGTTGTATACGAGGGACTATTAGTCAGCTTCACGCCCGTAATAAGTTCACGTGCTACGTGACGCCACACTTGCGCAAAAAATAGCGTTTCACACTCGCTGCTTGGCTTATTGATGGCGCTGACCGACACTCCTACTTCTAAATTTACATATAAACCTAAAAAGTGGGGTGAAGGAAGGCCGCTGTGATAGCATGGTGGTTAGAGCATCGAACGCATTATTTGAAGGTCGTAGGTTCGATTCCTGCTCACGGCTCGTTATATTTTGACCCACTTTTTTTTCTTCCTATTGACATTCAATTTGTTCTAATAACTTCCCCTATACGCTTCTTGGACTTACTGTCTGTTAGATCTCATTATTATTCTGTCAAAACACGAGAAAATTAGCCCTGAGATATACACTTCTTTTCCTTATTCATAAAAGAGGATCTCGTACTGGCAGACTAGGTGTCATTAGGTTGTATACGAGGAACTATTAGTCAGCTGCTCACTCGTAATAAGTTCACGTGCTACGTGACGCCACACATGCGCATAAAAGAGTGCTTCACACTCGCTGCTTGGCTTATAGATGGCGCTGACAGACACTCCTACTTCTGATTTTACATATAAACCTAAAAAAGTGGGGTGAAGAAAGGCCACTGTGATAGCTCGGTGGTTAGAGCATCGAACGCCTTATTCGAAGGTCGTAGGTTCGATTCCTGCTGACGGCTGGTTATTTTTCATCCACTTTTCTTTCTTCTATTGACATTCCAATTGCTCTAATAACTTGCCTATACCTTCCTTGGTAATACTGTCTGTTAGATCTCGATGATATTGTGTCAAAACACGAAAAAACGAGCCCTTAGGTATACACTTCTTTCCCTTATTCATTAACGAGGGTCTCGTACTGGCAGTCTTAGTGTCATTAGGTTGTATACGAGGGACTATTATTCAGCCGCCCGCTCGTCCTAAATACACGTGCTACGTGACGCCACACATGCGCATAAAGGAGTGTGTTACACTCGCTGCTTGGCTTATAGATGGCGCTGACTGACAGTTCTACTTCTAAGTTCACTTATAAACACAAAAAAAGGGGGGGGGTGAGGGAAGGCCGCTATGATAGCTCAGTGGATAGAGCATCGATCGCGTTATTCGAAGGTCGTCGTTTCGATTCCTGCTCACGGCTGGTTATTTTTTCACACACTTTTTTTTTCTTCCTATTGACATTCCATCTGTTCTTAAAACTTCCCCTATACAGTCCTTGGCACTACTGTCTGTCAGATCTCATTGTTATTGTGTCAAAACACGAACAAACGAGCCCTTAGGTATACACTTTATTTCCTTATTCATTAACGAGGGTCTCGTACTGGCAGACTTAGTGTCATTAGGTTGTATACAAGGGACTATTATTCAGCCGCCCGCTCGTACTAAGTACACGTGTTACGTGACGCCACACATGCGCATAAAAGAGTGTTTCACACTCGCTGCTTGGCCTATAGATGGCGCTGACCGACCCTGCTACTTCTGAATTTGCATATAAACGTAAAAAAGTGGGGTGAAGGAAGGTCGCTGTGATAGCTCGGTGCTTAGAGCATCGAACGCATTATTTGAAGGTCGTAGGTTCGATTCCTGCTCACGGCTGGTTATTTTTTCACCCACTTGTCTTTCTTTTGATTGACATTCCAATTGTTCTAATAACTTCCCCTATACCTTCCTTGGTAATACTGTCTGTTAGATCTCAATGATATTATGTCAAAACACGGTAAAACGAGCCCTTAGGTATACACCTCTTTCCCTTATTCATTAACGAGGTTCTCGTACTGGCAGACTTGGTGTCATCAGGTTGTATACGAGGGACTATTAGTCAGCTTCACACTCGTAATAAGTTCACGTGCTACGTGACGCCACACTTGCGCATAAAATAGTGTTTCACACTCGCTGCTTGGCTTATTGGTGGCGCTGACCGACACTCCTACTTCTAAATTTACATATAAACCTAAAAAAGTGGGGTGAAGGAAGGCCGCTGTGATAGCTTGGTGGTTAGAGCAACGAACGCATTATTTGAAGGTCGTAGGTTCGATTCCTGCTCACTGCTGGTTATATTTTCACCCACTTTTCTTTCTTCCTATTGACATTCCATTTGTTCTAATAATTTTCCCTATACATTCCTTGGACTTACTGTCTGTTAGATCTCATAATTATTGTGTCAAAACACGAACAAACGCAGCCCTTAGGTTATACACTTCCTTCCCTTATTCATTAACGAGGGTCTCGTACACAGACTTAGTGTCATTAGGTTGTATACAAGGGACTATTATTCAGCCGCCCGCTCGTAATAAGTTCACGTGCTACGTGACGCCACACTTGCGCATAAAATAGTGTTTCACACTCATGCTTGGCTTATTGATGGCGCTGACCGACACTCCTACTTCTAAATTAACATATAAACCTAAAAAAGTGGGGTGAAGGAAGGCCGCTGTGATAGCTTGGTGGTTAGAGCAACGAACGCATTATTTGAAGGTCGTAGGTTCGATTCCTGCTCACTGCTGGTTATATTTTCACCCACTTTTCTTTCTTCCTATTGACATTCCATTTGTTCTAATAATTTTCCCTATACATTCCTTAGACTTACTGTCTGTTAGATCTCATAATTATTGTGTCAAAACACGAAAACAACGAGCCTTTAGGTACACACTTCTTTTTCTTATTCAATAACGAGGGTCTCGTTTTGGCAGACTTGGTGTCATTAGGTTGTATACGAGGGACTATTAGTCAGCTGCCCACTCGTAATAAGTTCACGTGCTACGTGACGCCACACATGCGCATAAAGGAGTGCTTCACACTCACTGCTTGGCTTAAAGATGGCAGTGACCAACACTCCTATTTCTAAATTTACATATAAACCTAAAATGTGGTGTGTGGAAAAGCCGCTGTTATATCTCAGTGGTTAGAGCATCGAACGCGTTACTTGGAATTCGTATGTTCGATTCCTTCTCACGGCTGGTTATATTTTCACTCACTTTTCTTTTTTCCTATTGACATTCCGTTTGTTCTAATAACTTCCCCTATACATTCCTTGGCATTACTCTCAGTTGGATCTCATTAATATTGTTGACACAAAAAACGAGCCCTTAGGTATACACTTCTTTCGCTTATTCATTAACGAGGGTCTCGTACTGGCACACTTGGTGTCATTAGGTTGTATACGAGGGACTATTAGTCAGCTGTCCGCTCGTAATAAGTTCACGTGCTACGTGACGCCACACATGCGCAAAAAAGACTGTTGCACACTCGCTGCTTGGCTTATAGATGGCGCTGACCGATACTCCTACTTCTAAATTTGCATATAAACTCAAAAAAGGCGGGGTGTGAGAAGGCCGCTGTGATAGCTCACTGGATAGAGCATCGAACGCGTTAATCGAAGGTCGTAGGCTCGATTCCTGCTCACGGCTGGTTATTTTTCACACGCTTTTCTTTTTTCCTATTGACATAACATTTGTTGTATTACCTTCTGTAATAACGTGAGCAGCAGACAGCATACCAAGAAGCAACTGATAAGTTTATTAGAAGACGCACCATATATAGGCGCAGAACCACGTGATCGGTCGCACAGGAATGCGCGCACTGGGTGCGCAGTGATAAGTGACGTCACGCTACAACACTCCTTCCCCTTCAGATTACTTCCGAAAGTCACTGGACTGGTATCTGTTCGGGGCATGTCGTACACGTGCACTACGACGCCGAGTTGGAAGTTCGGCTGCAGGTGGCGCGTCGTCGGCACTGGGCTGGTCCGGCGAGCCGGAGGCAGCTGCTCCGGCCGTGGGCGATGCAGTTGCCGGAAGGAGAGACGTCGCAGAGTCGGTTGCGTGTGGATTTACGAGAGGCGACCCGGCGACTGGCCCACACGCCATCGGAACCGTCGGTGGAGTCGTGTCTACGGATGCCGTTGGAGCAGGTTGTGCCTGCGGATAACTTGAAGAATCCTGGCTTCCGTGGCGGGCTCTGATGTGGTCCGAATGCGTAAATCGCACCGCCTGCGAGACTTTCACCAGATAGGTTACGGGACTGATAACCTGTGTCACGACCCCATCTTCCCACGACATTGTTTCACCTCGCACAGTCTTCACCCACACAGCGTCCCCCACAGCAAAACATCGCGGAACCCCCCTAGACATGTCCTTTTGCACTTTGGTACGTTGCTGCTGCTCCCGCATGGAGAGCTCGAAATCTGGTTTTAGCAATGACAGCTTTACCCGTGGCTGTCTTTTCAAGAATAATTCTGCCGGGGTCTGGCGAGTGGTACTGTGCGGAGTAGTCCTGTAACTCATTAGATAGCTGTCCAAGCGTTCCCGAAATGAATGTTTGTGGTGGCTAGCTTTGTCCTGCAAGACATGCTTTGACAGTGCTTGTTTGGTAGTCTGCACTAAACGCTCGGCCGCTCCGTTAGAAGCCGCGTGATAAGGAGGTGTCTTGACATGCCTTACACCGTTTACACTCAAGAAGGCCGCGAACTCTTCGGAAATGAACTGCGGTCCATTATCACTCACCAGTACCTCTGGCAGACCATACGCGGCAAACATACTACGTAGCTTCTCAATGGTTTTGTTAGCAGTAGTGGATGACATAGGCGAGACCTCGATCCATTTAGAGAACGCGTCGACGAGAACCAAGAACGCCTGAGAGCCCTTTACCGCATAATCGACGTGCACGCGTTGCCAGGGCCTTGTGGGATAATTCCATGGTTGCAAAGGAACCGGTGAAGCAGCTTTTTGGACGGCCTGACAAACCTGACATTGTCGAACGTAGCTCTCAACCGAAAGGTCGAGGCCAGGCCACCACACAAAGCTTCTTGCTAACGCTTTCATGCGACTAGATCCCGGGTGGTCCTCATGCAATAGCTGCAAGACCTGTAGCTGGAGCTTATCAGGTATGATCACCCTTGATCCCCACGTTATGCATTCTTGCTCTACTGATAGCTCGTCGCGCCGGGAATAAAATGGTCTAAATGCTTCAGAGCACTCTGAAGGCCATCCATTTAAGATGAAGTGCGTCACGCGAGACAATGTGGGATCACGTCGTGTGGCTCGCGCTACGTCATCCGCTTTGAGGGGCATGCTGTCAAATAGCAAGAGACACTCGGAAGGTTCATCGGCCGCTACAATAGGCCGTGGAAGCCGAGACAGAGCGTCAGCCACTTCAACATTTCTTCCCTTTCGGTATTTTAGTTTATACTGGTACGCTGCCAGGGTAATTGCCCATCTTTGCATTCGAGCTGCAGCAAGCGCAGGCACCGGCTTGTCGTGGCCTAATATTCCGAGCAATGGCTGATGATCTGTATAAAGAGTGAACTCTCGTCCATAAGAGTAGCGGTGGAATTTTCTTAACCCAAACATCAGTGCTAATGCTTCGCGTTCGCACTGAGCATAGTTTTTCTCTGCGGCTGTAAGTGTTCTAGAAGCAAATGCCACTGGCCTTTCGTGTCCCTCTGCGGTCTCATGAAAAATGACAGCCCCCAATCCATACGACGAAGCGTCACATGTCATAGCCATTGGTTTCGCCACATCGTAAAAAGTGAGCACATTACTCTTGACAAGTAACAGTTTCGTAGAAGCAAATGCTTCGCTACACTCCCGTGTCCACGACCACCTTTCGCCCTTGCGCAACAGACGGTACAATGGCTCTGCCACGCAGGCAAGGTTACTTAAGAACTTTGCATAAAAGGTTAACATGCCGAGATAAGCCTTTAGCTCTGTTTGGCAAGTGGGCTCTGGCGCTTCTGTGATCGCCTTTATCTTTTCTTCTGTAGGATATATACCTTCAGCGCACACAGTGTGACCGAGATAAGTCACAGTGCTCTGAAAAAACCGACACTTTTCCTCTTTCAGTGTCACGTTGTAGTCACTCAGCCGCTGCAGGACTAGTTCCAACGTTTTTTGACAGTCGGCTAAGTCTTTTCCCGACACAATGACGTCGTCTATGTAACATCCCACGTGCGGTATGCCTTTGAGCACCTCCTCCATGAAGGACTGAAAAATGGCTGGCGCACTGGCTACCCCAAATGGTAAGCGCTGGAACTCGAACAGCCCCCTGTGCGTATTAATAGTTAGCAGTGGTCGGGACTCGGCAGTGAGCGGAATCTGCTGATACGCGGCCGAAAGATCCAACACACAAAACACTCTGCCGCCAGCTATGGCAGAGAACAAATCTTCCGGTCTAGGCAATGGGTAGTGGTCGGTCTTTAAAACAGGATTAATGGTGACTTTGTAGTCCCCGCACAGCCTCAGTGAACCATCTTTCTTTTGGATTACGACTACTGGCGTGGCCCAATCGCTCCGATTTACGGGGCGTATAACACCGCTTTTCTCTAGCCTTTCTAGCTCGCCTTCCACTTTATCTCGAAGCGCAAATGGGACGTTTCTGGCCTTGCCAAAAATAGCCGTACAATTCTGGCTTAAAACTATCCTTGCTTGATAGTTTTTTTACTTTTCCAGGTTGCTTAGAAAACACCCCTGGGAACTTCTTTTTAACCGCCTCTACCTTGCGAGAGTCGCTTACATTTATAGCAAACACGCTTTTCCAGTCAAGCCCGAGCCCTTCAAGCCAACTTCGCCCCATCAGCAATGGTAGCTGCTTGCCGTTATCCTTGACGATAATAGCGGGTAGCCGCAAAGACTGTTTTCCCACCGTAACGGAAACGTTGCATTGCCCTTTTACTGGAACAGGTTCCCCAGTGTACGTTTTTAGGGTGACTCGAGATGGCTCGCACTTGACATGAGAAAATGCGTTCAGCCTCACACTCTCAGGAATTAGTGTCACAGCTGCTCCCGTATCAATCTGCATGCAGAGGTCTTGCCCTTCTACGTTTAGCTGCACTTCATACCCAGAACGCACGGTATTGATAACATGGTACACATCTAATTCAGAGTCACTATCAGAGCAGCCCACCACGTTTGCAGTCTTGAGTTCTCTGCGATTACTTGGACACATCTTCTGTAGATGACCGATTTGAGAACAGCTGTGACACGGGACGTTCTTATACCAGCAAACACTAGCCGCATGCGCCTTGCCACATCTTTCGCAAACTCGCTTGGCTTCCTTGAGCTTCCGAAGCTTCGATTTCTTTTCGCTTCCTTTTCCTCTTATCGCCATTGCATAAAAAGCCGCTTCCTTGCCTTCTGCATGAAGTAACGCTGTCTGTCGCGCAGCCTGCTCTCGGTCCCGGGCTATCTTGCACGCCTTTTCGAAGGTTAAATCTTCTTCAGCAAATAGGGCGAGTTGCGTTTCCTCGCGTCTTATGCCTGCCACTATTCTGTCTCGCAGCGCGTCTTGCAGAAACTGACCGAAATCGCACTTCCTTGCTAACTGTTTTAAGGCCACTATGAAGTCCTCGACGCTTTCCTGCTCTTCTTGTGCTCGCTTGTTAAATTTGCAACGTTCGGCAATGACCGAGCACTGTGGGCTATAGTGTTTTCTTCAACAGCACTGTGACCTCTTCAAAGGACTTGTCCCCAGGAACAGCGGGTACTACCAAACTTTTGAGCACCTCGTACGTTCGTGGTCCTATCACACTCAAGAATACTGCCAGCTTCTTTTCCTCTCTGATGTCATTTGCGGTGACGAAGTGCTCAAAACGCTCCAGATAGGATTCAAAATTCTGATCCTTCTCGTCGAACTCGTCTAGCTTGCCTAGTCGCGCCATTGTTCAGTAAAAGTGCAGTATACTTATCGGGTTGCTTTCCCCGACGACTGCGTTGCCTCTTGCCGAAGGTAGTGCCGCCGAGTTCAACCGTCCCAGGCCCTGGCTGCCGTTGTTTTCTGGTCCATGGCTGTCGACCGCCGATCGCCCGCACTACTGCTTCGTACTGAGCTAGTACAAGGGGGCGGATCCCATCCTCGTCGCCAGTGTAATAACGTGAGCAGCAGACAGCATACCAAGAAGCAACTGATAAGTTTATTAGAAGACGCACCATGTATAGGCGCAGAACCACGTGATCGGTCGCACAGGAATGCGCGCACTGGGTGCGCAGTGATAAGTGACGTCACGCTACAACACCTTCCCCTATACATTCCTTGGCAATACTGTTTGTTAGATCTCATTATTATTGTGTCAAAACACGAAAAAACAAGCCCTTAGGTATACACTTTTTTCCCTTATTCATTAACGAGGGTCTCGTACTGGCATACTTGGGGTCATTAGGTTGTATACTAGAGACTATTAGTCAGCTGCCCTTCGTAATAAGTTCGCGCGCTACGTGACGCCACACATGCGCATAAAAGAGTGTTTCACACTCGCTGCTTGGCTTATAGATGGCGCTGACACTGACACTCCTACTTCGAAATTTACATATAAACCCAAAAAAGCGGGGGGAGGAAAGGCCGCTGTGTTAGCTCGGAGGTTAGAGCATCGAATGCATTACTGGAAGGTCGTAGGTTCGACTTCTGCTTATTGCTGGTTATTTTTTCACCCATGTTTCTTTCTTTTTATTGACATTCCATTTGTTCTAATAACTTCCCCTATACAATCCTTGGCATTAATGTCTGTTAGATCTCAATAATTTTTTGTCAAAACACGAAAAAATAAGCCCTTCAGTATACACTTCTTTCCCTTATTCATTAACGAGCGTCTCGTACTGGCAAACATGGTATCATTGATTGTATACGAGGGACTATTAGTCAGCAGCCCGCTCGTAATACGTTATTGTGCTACGAGACGCCACAAATGCGCAAAAAAGAGTGTGTTACACTCGCTGCCTGGCTTATAGATGGCACTGATCGACGCTCCTACTTCTAAATTTACATATAAACTCAAAACTGTGGGGTGATGAAAGGCCGCTGCGATAGCTGAGCGGTTAGAGCGTCGAACGCGTTATTCGAAGGTCGTACAATTGATTACTGCTCACGGCTAGTTATTTTTTCACCCACGTTTCTTTCTTTTTATTGACATTCCAATCGTTCCAATACCTTCCTCTATACATTCCTTGGCATTACTGTTTGTTAGATCTCATTATTATTGTGTCAAAACACGAAAAAACGAGCCCCTAGGTATACACTTTTTTCCCTTATTCATTACGAGGATCTCGTACTGGCATACTTGGTGACATTAGGTTTTATACGAGGTACTATTAGTCAGCTGCCCGCTCGTTAGAAGTTCACGTGCTACGTGACGCCACACATGCGCATAAAAGGGTGTTTCACACTCGCTGCTTGGCTTATAGATGGTGCTGACCGACACTTCTACTTCTAAATTTACATATTAACCCAAAAAAAGTGTGATGAGGGAAGGCTGCTTTGATAGCTCAGTGGTCAGAGCATCGAACGTGTTATTCGAAGGTCGTAGGTTCAATTCCTGCTCAAGGCTTGTTATTTTTTCACCCACTTTTCTTTCTTCTTATTGACAGTCCATTTGTTCTAATCACTTCTTCTCTAAATTCATTGGCATTACTTTCGGTTAGATCTCGTAATATTGTTGACACGAAAAAACGAGCCTTTAGGTACACACTTCTTTCCCTTATTCATTAACGAGGGTCTCGGGCTGGCAGACATGGTGTCATTACGTTGTATACGAGGAATGATTAGTCAGCTGCCCGCTCGCGAGATTTTCACGTGCTACGTGACGCCACACATGCGCATAAAAGAGTGTTTCACACTCGCTGCTTGGCTTATAGATGGCGCTGTCCGACACTCCTACTTCTAAATTTACATATAAACCCCAAAAATGTTGGGTTAGGGAAGGCCGCTGTGATAGCTCAGTGGTTAGAGCATCGAATGCGTCATTCGGAATTCGTAGGTTCGATTCCTGCGCACGGCTGGTTATTTTTTCACACACTTTTCTTTCTTCCTATACACTACATTTGTTCTAAAAACTTCCCCTATACATTCCTTGGCATTACTGTGTGTTAATTCTCAATAATATTGTGTCAAAACACGAAAAAACGAGCCCTTAGGTGTACACTTCTTTCCCTTATTCATTAACGAGGGTCTCGTACTGGCAGACATGGTGTCATTAGGTTGTATACGAGGGACTATTAGTCAGCTGCCCACTCGTAATAATTTCACGTGCTACGTGACGCCACACATGCGCATAAAAGAGTG